AATTGACAGGGGCTGTGATTTTGGGAGGTGGGGTTGGCAGGTGATGAGGTGGGGAGGAGGGTGGTGGGTGGTTGTCTCTCAACAACAAAGGGTAATCAAGGGGGAGGGGGAGAGGGTTTAGGTGGTTGTTGAGTTGGGGTTCTAGGTTCGTTGGGAGGGGTCTATGGAAGATTTTTTTCTTTTCTTTTTCGGTAGTTGCTGGCTCGGGTGGAGGGTGGGGAGGAGTTAGGGTTTTGGGTTCATGGGGCCTGGGGTGGAGGGTGGTTGTTGGATGGGTTTAAGTGGAGAATGGTTATGGGATGGGTTTGGGGGTTGGAGCTTGAGGGTAGTGGCCATGGGGGAATGGAGAGAGAGCTGTTCATTTGGCACAGGCTTTTCGTCATCTAATTCTATTTTTTCACGAAATATGCTCAATTTTTGGTCTCTATTTATTTTGTCTGAAAGGAATTAATAATGAAGTTTAGGCTGAACCAGTTGTTGCCGGTTGTAGAATACTTGTATATGCATTTCAGTATCAGTACTGAGAAAAAGTTCAATTAATGAATGCTTTATTTCTTTTTTCACTTTAGCAAAACCATTTCCTTCCCTTTTCCCACATTTTCTCGTTCACCAAACAAGTTGATTCTGTGAAGATACTGGGGGCTTTGACTTCAATCTTTGCCACTGAGAGAGAGAGAGAGAGAGAGAGAGAGAGAGTTTTTATTTCATTTTTCAGTATTTATTTATTTTAACCGTATGAAATGACCAATTTGCCCTCATATTTTACAGAAACATTGACAGAATATAACGATAGGACCAATGAAGCGATTAATATATAGCTAATGGATACCATTTGAACGAATAATTTAATTGAGGGACCAAAATGTAAATCGAGTACAAATTTGAGGACCATTTGAGTAATTTACCCTTAACATAATGTAACGGTAGGATTAATGGAGCGATTAATATAGAGTTGATGGGCCATTTGAACGAATAATTTAATTAAGGGACCAAAATGTAAATCGGGTATAAATTTAAGGACCATTTGAGTAATTTACCATAAATGTGTGGGATTTGAGTTTTGGTATAAAAGAAGGGTCGGCTCACGGTTCTAACTAATTGACTTAATTCATATATGCAAATTTAGAATATTAAGATAAAAGAAAGAGCAAAATTATTGTCATGATGGAATTTTAAATGCAGTTGAAAAATTCGCCATTTTCACTAAGGTAATGGAGGAAGGTGAGTATCGAACTTTGATGCTAAAGGATCGAATGTTAATCAATTTATATTATAATGTATGTATCTATATCTTAATATTATACTCTAGATTCATGATATATAAAGTCTCTCATTCACCCATATTATAACACATGAATTGATAACATCATGTGATAGTGTGACAATCAAACCTTAGAATTTCTCTCTCATATAATATGTATGCACACACGTCAACGTCTTAATTGTTGAAAATAAATGAAATCTTTGGCCCGAATTTAACTAAATGACTGATTAACACATTATTTAGGGAATATGACTTCATAAAGAAATTTGGTGTATAACATTACTTCTCAACTAACATTGCATTGTACACAAACATTGTTGGGTGCATGGGTTCTGAACCTCGCCCATAGGGCTTAAGGCCAATCACTTGTGCCCCAAAAAAATCATCTTTGCTTATAAACAAGAGTAATACAATGCTACCACTTATTGTAATGTTGTCACCAAAACTATAACTAATTCATAGCGTTATGGTTGTAATGTATGTTTGTAATGTTCACCCGATTTTTCATTTCTTCATTCAAGAAGACAAGAGCAAACCCCAAAGGGAAAGTGCACCTCATGGCAGCAAAAGTCTCATTCTTTTGAGTACCCTTTACTCAAGACGAGACCATTAACGATTTCTATGTTTTCCTCTGACTTTTTGTTGTTTTTTTAAAGAAAATCTTTCACTGAACAAAACGAATATAAATCAAATCAGATGTTTCTGAGATACCTATCTTTAAATCTTTTGGTTCCTGAGAATATAAATCAAATCATCTAAAAGCAGAATGATTTTTCAACTCAAAATTTCACTCATGGCCTCAAAAGAAGAAGGATCATACATTCATTCACAAGAGAATCAGGAAACTTTATTCATTTGTAAAACTGACATCAGAAAGAATTTGTACATCAGTGCTTCAGCCAAAAAGAATGTCTTAAGAGAATTGACATCTGGAAACTATGATCAAGAATGGAACAACCTAAAGAAAGAGACCAGTGTGATTGAATTGGGTATGAAAAATTCAAACCCAAGAATGATTGGATAACTGGGAAATGGATATCTACATGAGCTTGTAGTAACACTCTCCTCCACTGAGAAGGAACTGATAGGCTTTGTCACAGTGACAGCTGAAGTGAATGACCAAGCAGTCATCCTTCTTCTCTACGCTCACAGATTCAGCAATTTCTTCCTCACACCCATCCTGCCACAACAACAAAAATGCTTAATTCGCATATTAAAGAATCTGAAAATACAAAGTTAGTGCTTGGTTTGATTGATCGGTTAGAAAGCCATGAAAAATGGAAGAGAAATCAAATTTTCTATCTTGATGTCAGATTATTAAGACCCAAGAAATCTTTTTTCTATCTTTTTTTTTCATTTTCTTTGTGATCTTGTTTGTGGGAAACCCAGTATTCTTGAAAACTAAACAGAGAACCCAATACCTCAGCAGCACCAGTATTGCTATGAAAATCTTGATCAGCGGCATCAACAGCCTGTACTTGTGCTTCTTCTTCCACTGCCTGCTGTTGCTCATCTTCATCTTCTTCCATCAAGTCCTCTTCACGCATCAGTTGCTGGCACCAATGGCTCATCTCTCTGAGGCGATCCTTCATCCTCCTCAGCCTCTGCAACAACAGTTTTCCCCAAACCCATTTCAATGACAACTCAAAAATAAAACAATAAAGAACCGAGCTTTCTCACAGATTACAACATAAAACTCCCCAAAACCCATATCAGTAAAAACCCCAAAAAGAGAGAAAGACTCAAGCTTTTCACAGATTAGAACATTAGAGAATGAAATTCAAGAAAATTTTCTGACCTTGGAATTGGGAGTGTCAATGTCGGTGCCCAGGTCTTGGGAGGAGGTGGAGAAGCGTGAGGAGGCCTTGGCAGGAGAGGGATTGATATCTGAG